CAGCTCCTTCTTCTCCGCACCCGAGAAGCGCTCCAAACCGATGCAACGGCCAGCACGAGCAGAAGCAGTGAGCAAGCATGTGCTGGCTGCATTCCGAAACGATGTACCATGCCATAATATTATTTGTGCAAAAAAATTCCGTGGTGCTATTAACCGACAAAACAGATCACTCAATCGTCTGAGCACTTCTTCTCGCTCCCTCCGTACTGTCTCTCCGACGCCCCTCTCGCCACAGCCACCCGCCACCTGAAACACCATCTTTTTCTGTCGGATAACCCATGCAGATTTGTATCGGAAATCATCAAACTCGGCTCGGCCGCCATTGAGGGATGCTCTTGTTTCCCTACTAATGCTATTTTACGAGACTGTCTGCCTGTTAGTGAGCGCTAGGTAGCGTTACTCAGCGCTCGATGGCCGCATTGTGTAGTGGGGAAGTGATGAGTAGGGGATGAGACATGACTGGAGGTTGGTGGGTGCCTAGACAACGCTCTGGGCCGGGACTGGGGGTAGTATAGGGGAGGGGAGCAGGGGTACCAGTCAGGAGTTCGAGACAAGAGCCAGAGAAAACAGTGAAGAAAAGAGATGATACAACACTACTAAGAAAAGCAAATTATAGCAAATCTGAACTTATGAATAAAAGCAAAAAGAAAAATCAGTGTCGACGCCTACCGGGTGGGCACGTACGTTCATGCGTGTTCGCAGTGTTTGGTGCTGTAATGAGATTGCTCGGAAACCCAGTAACTAGAAGTGTGTGGCATATTGATCCTCGAATTTCAGGAAGTTAATTGTCTATGCTGCATTTGAACAAGAAACATTCTCTGAAAATTTCAGCCTCCCTGCTTTTCCGGCTCCCGAATTAGCCATTTTCTCGCCAGGAATTTCCATGGAGCCATGCATGGTAACTGCATGTGCTTGGGGAGCTGAACTTGATAAATTTATGTCGTACATGTACTGGGGACATTCCCTAGAATTTCAGCCTACCAGCTTTCCCGGCCCCCGAATTAACCATTTTCCTGCCAAAAATTTCCATGGGGCCTTACATGAGAACCACGCACACCGAGGAGCTGAATTCGATAACTTTAAGTTGTACATGTGCTGGGAACATTCCTTGAAAATTTCAACCTCCCAGCTTTCCTGGTTCCGGAGTTAGCCGTTCTCCTGCAGAAAATTTTCACGAGGCCATACATGAGTACCACACGCACTGAGGGCCTGAGTTTGATAATTTTAAGTTATACTTGTGCTGGGAATATTCCCTGAAAATTTCAGCCCTCCAGCTCCCATGGTACCTGAGCTAGCAATTTTCGCGCCAGGAACCCTCACGGAGCTGTACGCGGGAACTTCGCATACCTGGGGGCTGAATTTGAAATGTTTGAGTTCTCTGTGGACAGGGAAAATTTCAGCTTCCGAGCTTTCCTCGTTCCCGAGTTAGCGATTTTCTCGCCAAAACTTTCACCTTCTCGTACGCAGGGCTCAAACTTGCGTGAGGGTTGGTACCGCGGTCTTGGGTTGGCACTTGGCCGGGGAACTCACCGGCAAAATTTTGGCGCCGGAGCTTGCTTGGGTTCCGAGTTGAAATATATGGACACACACACACACACACGCACAGGATTCGTCACAATATGCGTTTTTATGCGTTTTTGCATATATGTAAATTGCAAAAACGCGTACTGGGAAGAGGCTGTCTGTGTGTGTTTGTGTGTGTGTGTTTGTGTGTGTGTGTGTGTGTGTGCGTGTGTGTGTGGCCGTATGTTCGCACTTTTTGTCACCCACTTTCAGCTCGAGACTCAGAAAAGCTAGAAAGCTGAAACTTTGGGGGTATGTGCCTATACCATGCGCGACCCTCCCTTTTTAATTTCATCCCTCTTGGACGCCTGGGTGCCACGTACGGAAGTTTTAAAAAAATATGCAAATTTTTTGGCGGGAAAGCG